GAAGAAGAAGAAGAAGAAGAAGAAGAAGAAGAAGAAGAAGAAGAAGAAGAAGAAGACGGCTTAAAGTTATAACAACTTGGCCCAAATGAGCAATATAGGACTCAGAACAAGTTCCCTTCCTTAATGAAACCAATAAATAATGTCATTGAGACCAAGTATGAAATTGAATTTACTACGGATTATGTTATCAAAAGGTCCTGCAAGGCAGAAAGTAGGAGATAGTTCTTTCTCAGATGGGAAGAGGATTAAAAGACAGCAGGAGGTGGGAAGGAGAAGAGGGGGAGAAGAAAAAAAAGAATTAAGATGAGTTATATTCAATATCAACTTCCCACAAGGAAGATCATTATGTGCTGCAAACACGGACTAATAAATAAATTTAATGAATATGATAAAGTTTTGTGTTAATGTTTCTTTTAAGAATCTTTTCACTGGGAGGCTGTAAACAAGAGGGTCACTACGAGTGTAATCTAGCAGTGAGACCCTGAACACCCTGTAGACTCTTCCCTAAAAAAAATACAGGAAAAAAAGAGAATATTTTCAGTTTGTCTTGTACTCTTACCAATATAGATAGATATAGAGATAGAGACAGAGATAGAGATAGAATTTGTACAGGGTCTACAGGGTCTCACTACATAGATTGGATTTATAGTATTCCTCCTGTTTTCAGCCTCCCAAGTGCTGGGATTACAAGCTCATGTCACCATGAGGAGTCTAGTCGCTGTCTCAGTGCACCCTAGGGACACAGTTAGCACAGCACACCCAGGCTCAAACCCCAGTTCCTGCATCTGCCTAAACAGGCACGTTAGTCTGCTGAGCTATCTGGCTGACCCTCTAACTACTCTAAAGATAACAATATACAGTATAATAACTATTGTTATTCTTTTATTTGGTTATGAAATTCTGTTTTTTAATAAAAATAAACTTTATCTTATGTTATCTGGAAAAATAAGAGACAGCTTTAAATAAAATGAGCTGTCTCCTGAAATAAAACCTTATTCACAGCAATTATTATTTCACAATAAATAGTTACACTACTTTGACTATCCTTTCAAAATTCATTAGTTAGCTGGCAGGAAACTTCATACAACTTGCTTCCCATTGTCACCTGTTAAAACAATGTTTTGGGAAAGGCAAAACAGCAAAGTACTACTATTTAGAGGGAAAGAAAAAAATCTTCAGATTTAGTCTTGATCCCTTTTAATGATCTTTCTTCCTATGTTAGGCACCTCAAAATCAGAATATTAATAGCAACTGAGATCTACAACTGTTAATCTCCCGATTAGTCAAGATCTAAACCTTATACTATACGAGTTTAAATTTTAACAAACAATATACTTTTCTCCAAGTTATGTTGAGGGTATAATTCAGTAATTATTCCAATAGTGGCATATTTTCAAATGTAAGCTGAATGCTCTTCTAAAAAAAAAAAAAAATACTCTGCCAAAAGTAGCTTGAATGATCTCCATCTAAAAGATAGGATAAATCTCCATAATTAGCCTGTAGTTTGTATTCGTTACATAAAATTAATACAGTCCTACAAATTTCCTGCTAGAATTCTCAATATCCGACCTAGCAATACCAATCAAAGATGAATCATTATAGCTTAGAAATTCAAAAAATTCTCGTTTAGGAAGAAATTATTGATAAAGCAGAATACTGGTAGAAGGTCTGGGCTTAGCCATTCTAAAGGTACATGGGCAAAAATACGCTATCTTAAATTCCCTTCAAAATACCCTCCAAAGAATCTGGCCTAAGAATATGACAAGTTTAAAAGAAGATATAAGAGCCTTACCCCATCCAATCCAGATGAAGCCCCATAGGTATTTGGTGTCCGAAAAAAAAGACACAAAGATTAAATTATGCAGGTAGAGACCTTCCACCAGGATCCAATAGTAGTTTGTAGCCAGGAAATAAATAAACATCACAACAGCAATCTTGCACCAAATCTATTATAAATAAACCAAAATTACATTATATTAGAATTCTTAATCATATGGGATGCCAACTAAAAAACAGTGCTTCTATTTCCTGTGTTTACTTTAGTATGTCTCCTGCACAAAAGATGACTCAGAATGTAAAAGACAAGAATGAAGTTATTTTAAAATAGCATTTATTTAAGACTATGGATTTGATTCTATTGTTAAAATGATATTTTTTTTTCTTTTAAAAGTTACAGGCAAGGCTTTAATTTGTACCACTAGGACACACAGGATTGTACATAAGAAGAGGACTTTAAATGTGCAAGAGAGGATCTAACTGTTATGGGCTCTTAAATGCCAAATCTCTAGCTCCACTGAGATTTGTTGGTTTTGTTCTTTTTTGGGGGGGGGTAACTTTTGTCCTACTAACCTGTTTTGAAACTCAGTTTCATTGTTTGTTTAGTTTTATTTCTCCTCAAAGAAAAGGAAACAGTGACCCATGAGACTTACAATGGTCTATACCTCAAATGTCATTCCAACCATATGCTTTTTTGAAATACATTCTAGAATGGTCTGCAGGAAAGAACCCAAGTACTTTTGATTATGTTAAAATGAATGATTGGACTCAGTGGCTTAAATGTGAAGTGTCCCTCAAAAATTGCGTATTGATTATCAATGCACCCGTGTTCAGAGGTGGGACTTAGGGGGGTAACCAGATCATTAGGGCACTGACCTCCCAAATGCATTAACTCACTGATGAGCTTGGAGCTGGATTGACTACCAGGAGATATGGCCTAGTTGGAAGGTGTCACTGAGGGTCTGTCGTTGAAGGTGTACCTGCTCCCTGGTATCCCTCCCTCTCTTTCTGGCTCTTTCCCTTTCTCCCTGCTTCTTGGCCCCCGGTGAGGTATGCCACTTTGCACCTCCAGACCCGTCTGCCATGACGTGCCTGCCTTGGATTCAGCCAACCATAAGCTGATGCCATGAGTCAAAATAAATCTTTTCTCCTCTAAGATTTTCATCTGTAATACTGATCACGGCAACCAAAAGTTGACCAACACACCATGAGAGGACAGAACTGAGAAAGGAAGCATCAATCATTTAATTTAGGTAGCACAGAGACAAACTAAAATGTAGTAAGAAGTGTTTAATGGACTGTGAAATTTCACTTATTTGTAATGTAATCAAAATTATACTGAGAGAAAATGGAAAACACTTACATATTGTGATTTGTCCACCGAAGGCACTCCAAAGGAGCTTTGCAGGTCATCTTGAACCATCAGGGACTGCAGCTCTCCTATTCTCAGGTGAGCCTGGACCACTTTGTCCTTTATAAAGATGCTTACAGCTCTCAGCATAAAAGACACGAATAAGTGCAGATGGATGTAGTTCCTAGTGCAATGCAACCGTCTATGCAAATAAAGAGTCAGTATTTATATTTGGATAAAATTGGAAGGAGGTGAAAATATATGAATACAAATTCCTCTCCCAAAAAGAGGAAACTCAAAGATAGATAAACTCAAAGCTAACAGATTTTCAATAACAATTGGAATCTAAAACTAAAATGCAAATTTTAAATATTTTCAGATATATCCTGATTTTTCAATAATCCTTATTCAGAATTTACAGCATTAAACAGTGTTGTACATTATATTACCAATCATACTCTATATATTGAAGTAATAAATGAGTAATGAAAATGAATAAATATTATTAAAACAGGAACTTCGTTGTCACAATAATTCTGTACAATACAAAGATGTCTTAATAGCGTGACAAACTTACTGTTTGAAATTTCAAAAGTATTTTAGATATGTTAAACCAGTAATATGTAGGAATAGTACAGTACTATTAACTGGCAGTATAGAAAGTTATTCCCCCAAAAAACATGTTTTTAATTTTCATGGGAAAAAAGACTAAGAAAAATGTATAGACTCTGATCCATAGGACTTTAAGAAAGACAAATTTAAATGTACAATGTCCTTGTACCGCATACACTAATACTACTTTTCTTCCAAAACTGGTAAAGCATTCAAGTATGTGGAAGTAGAATATTTTAATCCCAGAATATATTTTATAATGGTAAATTGTTGATATAGTCTCATTTTAAAGACCCTATTTTTCAAATGATACTAGACTACGTTTGTGCTATGACTGATGAATACTTTTATAATTCATAGCATACATAGCAGAAAAGTGGACAAATCCGTACATGAATTTTTTTTGCCCATAGTTTTTATTTTGTTTTGCTTTTTTGTTTATTTTTGTTTTGTTTTGTTTTGGGCTTTGGTTTCTATGTTTTGTTTTGTTTTGTTTTGTTTTGACCAAGGATTGAACTCAGGACCTTATTCTTTCCAGGCAGGCATTTACGCCACTTAGCTGTCTCCCTGGCCTTCACACATGCATTTTACAAGATGGCCGTATTCATGTTCTCAGAATCCAGACTAAGAACAGAGTATTATCCAGACTTCAGAATCCATCTTCCACTGTTCTTCCAATCACTGGCTCACTAAAGGTAACATAAGAGATTAATTCCCTATGCTTGACTTTTATAAAATTACAATCAAATAATATGCATTCTTGTGCATCTGGTTTATTTACATTTCATAAGATAGGAAGGAATATTTAAATGAGAATGAGCTAAATAAACATATGAGAGGTGATTGTTAATACGCTGTGAACATGTACTTAAGACCAATGTGCCTAGATGAAATTCCTCATTTATTCATTCCTCCTAGAAAATGTCTTCACAGGACTTTGCACAATAAAGAAAATTACTCATGGTATTTGCCTAAATAAGGCATCATTTGTAGGTGATAACTGTTTACTGTACATAGATTTTTTACTTTCAATAGACTCAACATTATGTACTATCCCACTAAAGGAATATTTTGTATTATGAAATAAGAGTTTCTGAAATTTATGCATAACTTTTCTGAAGAGCACAGTACATTAATTTTCCAGAAAATAATTGTGTACCAATTAGAAAGAAGCTATACTTAATCATTGATGATTATGTAAGCTGAAGAATTATCACTCAGGCATTTATATCCTCCTCAAATACTTGCTTTTTTTATCTTATCAAGACTCCTGGGGCTGGGGAGATGACTCAGTGGAATAAGCGCTTCCCTGGCAAGCGCAAGCCTGAGTTCAATCCCTGGTTCCGCAAAAAAAAAAAAAAAAAGACTCCTAAATCAAGGTGGTATTAAATGCATGTAATCCTTGGGAGGCTGAGACAGGAGGATCACAAGCTCAAGACCAGTCTGGGCAACTCAATGAAACTCAATCTCAAAACATAATTTTAAAAAGGGGGCTGGGCATGCGCCTCAGTATCCCCAGGTACTGTTGAATAAATCCCCAATACTGATGAAAAAAGCAAACACTGGTTACTATGAAGTACCAGAACTAAGCTTGTTGTAACAGAAGACAAATTTCCATTTATACCTCCACTCCTATGATCTTGTGACCTTGGATACAATGTCTCAGTTTCTCAGTCAATGAAATGAAAAGATAACTGCCACACAAGTTTCTCAAGGCTGTTTCAAAGAAGCTGTCTATTTAATCTCACAAATCTGATCATGTTATATTCTTCTATTTGAAAAGCTTAATATGGTTTTTTATCCTGTTGGTGTGTATCACATTTATTGATTAGCATATGTTGAACCATTCTTGCATCTCTGTGATGAATCCCACTGGATCATGATGGATAATCTTTTACATGTGCTTCTTAGTTTACTGGTATTTTGTCAAAGGTTTTTGCAACTATGTTCATCAAAGATATCCACATGTTGAGACTAATTTGAAATGATCTTATTTCATAATCATGTACTGTGAAACAGTGTTTCAGTTAAATTGAGGACAATATTTTGGTGCTGGCTTATAAAATTGTAAGTGGTTAAAAAATAAAATTTATGAAAAAAAATTTTTAATATCAGCCTTTCTTGTTGTATGTCTCATTTTGTACCAGGGTAATGCTGATCTCATAAATGAGTCTGAAAGAACTATCTTCTCCATAAGTTTGGGAATCATTTAAAAAGAAACAGGATTAGTTCTTTAAATGTGCTAGCATTCAGCAATGATGCCCTCTGGTCCTGGGCTTTTCTTTGATGCTAAACTTTTCATTGTATTATCAATCTTGTCAGTCATTTTTAGTCTGTTCAGATTTATTCATTAAATTCTGTTCTATTTATTTATGATTATTCTATTTACTCAATATTCATATTTATCATTACATAATTTCAGTAAATGATGTGCATGAAGAAATTTTTACATTCCTTCTCAGTTACTAAATTTGTTGGTGCACAGTTGTTTGTAATAATCTCTAATGATTCTTTGTATTTCTGTGATTTCAATTATAATAGCTTCCTTTTTAACTGGATTTATTCAAGCCTCCTCTTTTCTCAGTCTAGCTAAGGCATTTTGAATTGTGTTCATCTTTTCAAATGATCAGCTCTTGATTTCATTGATTTTTTAATATTTTTTGTTTCTGTTTCATTTAGTTTGCTCTGATGTTTTTCCTTTTGTTAATCTAGGATTTGGTTTATTCTTGTTTATCTAGTTCTTTAAAATGCAGATGTAGTTTATTTATTTAAGGTTTTTTTTTTTTCATTTTTGTCCATGTAGGCCTTAACTGCTGCAACTTTTCCCTTAGTGATGCTCTTACTATAGCTTTTTTTTAATACATTATTTTCATTTTTACTTGTTTTATAAAATCTTATTTCTTTCTTGATTCCCTCCTTGATCTATTGGGTACTCAAGAGTAAGCTGTTTTTGTTTTATAATTTATTATTTTGGAGGTTGACAATATTTGCACATATTTGCGCACACATAAGGCATAGTTTCCGCTTTGATGGAAGTTAAGAGAATAGTAGTATGAGAGACTGAGAATGATAAGAAAAGGGGAGATATTGAACACTGGGTGAGTATATGTTATTTTTTGACAGGAAAAATAAATTCTGGTGTTTTATAGCACAGTAAGGTAAATATAATTAACCATACTGAATAATGTATCTCAAAAATAGAAGAGGGGGATTTGAATGTACTCATCATAGAGAAATGATAGTTTAAGATGATGGATATTCCAGTAACATACTATAGAAAAGATCCCTGAATGTATAGCCTTGATGATAGATATTCTAAACACTAAGTTAATCTCAACCTGATGTAAATATGAAAGTAAATTATTTAATTTTAATTTATTTTCATAGTTTCTAGTTTTTCTTACTGAACTCTACTTTCACTGAGTTGTGATCAGAATACGTACTTAATACAACTTCAATTTTTAAAAATGTTAAAGCTTATTTTTGCCTTGTCATATACCCTTTGGAGAATGTTCCATATGCTGTTGGAAGGAATGTACATTCTGCAGTTGTTGGACAGAATGTTCTGTGTATGTCTGGTAAATCCTTCTGGTTTAGAATGCAATTGAACTCTACTATTTCTTTATTGATTTTTCTGTCTGGATGATCTGTCCACTTCATAAAGTAAGGTGTTAAAATATCATTTACTTTGTTGCAAGTGTGCACCACCATGCCAAGCACATTGCTCTCCAAAAGATTTCCAATATTATCTGGGTGCACTGTAATCCCAGTACTTAAGAGGCTGAGGCAGGAGGATCGTCATCAGTTCAAGGTCAGCCTGAGCCACACAGTGATAAGCCTGTTTCAAAAACCAAAAACCACAAAATGTACTACTAATATCTGCCTTATATAATTGGCACGCTGATGTTAAAACTGTTATTTCTTCTTGTTAGATTGACCCTTTACTATTTTACAATGTCCCTTATTGTCCCTTTTTACTGATTTTGCTTTAAAGTCTATTTGTCTGCTATAAATATAGCCATATCGTCTCTCTTTTAGATTCTATTTGCATGGAACATTTACAATATCTTCATTTTGGATCTACATATGTGCTAAGAACTGAAAGGGGTATTTTTTAATCTATTCAGATACTTTTAACTAGTCTTTTAACTAGTCTCTTAACTAGTGAATTTAGTCCATTTTTATTTAAGATAACATCAATAGGTTCAAGTTAACAGAGCATTTTTCATTGAAACAAGCCATTGTGGAGAGATTGCAACATAACACGATTATAAATATAATCATGGTTATAAGTCATGAAGACAAAGAAAATATACTAATTTAAAAACTCTACACTTATATATGTTCATCCACACATTTTTAATTTTTGACATACCATTTTACATCTTTCTGTATTGATTATATCTTTATATATGAAGACAGTAATTATTATAATTATTTTTCATTCTTTCAACTAAAATCATTAGGCTTGCATATTGTTTATACTTTCAGAGTACTCTGAATTTGCCAGGATAATCACAATATCACTGAGTTTTATGCCTTCTGATGTAACATGTTCACAATAACCCAAAAATAAGAACAAGCTATTTT